AGACACCAACATCACATTCTTTCTTCACCCTGTTCTCTTAATGCTTCCCAACCTGCACGTCAGCTCCTGTCATATGAAGCTGCTTCCTGCCCCTTGAACTCATCACCCTCCTACAAAGACCACTTTCCCCTTACCTTTTCTATCTGGATAATATCAAGGAGAAGAAGGGGTATATTAAGTATATTTCAAAGCAAGGAATCAGCCTTGTAATACAAGAAACATCTTTGTCTTTACGGAAGTGTTAAAGTAGTATCTTAGATCTCAGTTTAAAGTTAGGGATTTAGCACCAAGAATTTTGGATTTTATTAGAAATTTTTATTTGTAAAGTTTTTTTTTTTAACTCTTCCTTCTTGAATCAAGAGTTACTCAAGGCATAAAACTTTCCTAGAAATTTTCTTTTTAGAAATTGTCTATCTTTATTAGAACCTTGTCTAATCCATTTCTGGTTCACAAGAAAGTTCTTGCCCTTGAAGTTTTAGCAAATTTTGAAAGGTTACAAATTTGAGTGTAAAGTAAGTGATGAAATTTATGGTAAATTTTTGTCATAGAACAGTAGTTTGAGAGACAGAAAAAAACCTCTTTAAAAAGCAAATATTAGGGTATTGGGATTGTTGTTTATTTGGGAAAAAAGGTTATTACCATACCTGATATTTTAGAGCAAAACAAATTTTAAATTAATTAAGTAGTTAAAAGTAAAAATTAAAACCATAAAAGAACTAGATTGGGGTGAATATTTATATGATGTGATGGTAAAGAAGGCTAAACTATGCAAACAAAGAAAGAAATCACAAAATAAACTTTCGCCAGATGTGATTACATAAAATTAAAACTTCTGTACATACATATATAAACTTACCATAATACAAACTGTGAGAGAAATTGCAATCTTAGAAAAATATATTTGAAACATACTTGAGTGCTATTATTTTTAAAATATATAAAACATTTACAAAAAATTTGTAAGACAAAGATAAATACTCCAACAAAAAAATTAGTCAAGTGAACAGCAAATTCACAAAAGAAGAAATACAAAGATCAAGAAAAATAGATAAAAACGTGCTGATCTCACTAGTATTTAGACAGTCAAAGTTAAAGAAAAAATTCTCTTTGACTGTTACACTGGCAAAAATTAAAAACAAATTCATTGTTGATGACAGTCTAAGAAAATGGGCTCTTTACATTTTTGGGAGGAATGTAAATTTGCACACTCTTCCTGGAGAATAATTTGGCAATAAGTAACAACATTCACTACTAAAATTTCACTACTTGTGATTTCTCTTCAAAAAATTATAAGAGGTCTACACAAAGATTTTTGTACAGAAATAGTTATAATAGCATTATTTGTATAAAATTCTGGAAAAAACTTAAAGGTTTAACAATAGGTAATTTAAAAGTAATAATGATATGTACATACTAAGGAATACTATGTGTGATGGTTAAGGTTGTGTGTCAACTTGGCTGGGCCATGATTCTCAGTGGCTTGGCAGTTATCATATAGTTTGGCAGTTATGTAATGATGTAATCACCTCCACAATGAGATCTGATATAATGTAATCACTTCCATGATGAGATCTGCTATGAGCAGCCAATCAGTTGAAAAGGAGTTTCTTTGGAGGTGTACAATTATACGTAATATTTATATAAATCTTTGTGCTTTTAACATTATAATAAAAACAAACATGAAAATAGGAAGATGAGGGAATATATAATATAGTTTCATAGCTCACTATTGGTAAAACTGTGACTCTAGAGAGTAAGTGTCATCTGAAGCCAAAATGCACCCATAACTGTCTCCAGAGGACAAGAACAGAGCCCTACACCTTTCTTTTTCCTCTAAAACACATCCTCGCTTCCATTCTATATAAAGCCTTATAGAAGGTAAGATGACGTGAACAGACATTTGCTATTAAAAAAAATTAATTTCTCATTGTTCAAAGACATAATTGTACTTACAACAAATAAAAATACTTCCTCTTCTCCACACTGAAAAAATCAAAAACAAACGAACAACCGCATACACAACATTATCAGCTATCTTCCTAGGAATGACAGTGAATGGAATGGGTATGGATATCCCTAGGAGAAGGTCAAGGTAGTGGAAAAGCCACGGACTTCAGAAAAATCTCCAACATCAGCCCCCTTAATGTGTTGACACTGATGTGGTCTTTAGATGCTGTCTTAGTTATCTAGTGCTACTATAACAGAAATACCACAAGTGGATGGCTTTAACAAAGAGAAATTTATTTCTTCACAGTAAGGTAGGCTGAAAGTCCAAATTCAGGGCATCAGCTCCAGGGGAAGGCTCTTTCTCTCTGTTGGCCTTCTGATCAGTGTTCCTCTGGACTAGGAGCTTCTTGGCTCAGGACCCCAGTCCAAAGGATGCGCTCTGCTCCTGGCACTCCTTTCTTGATGGTATGAGGTCCCCCTGTGTCACTGCTCACTTCTCTCTTTTACATCTCAAGAGATTGCCTCAGGACAAGTCCAGTCTTGTAGATCCAGTCCTGCCTTACTAACACAACTGCCACCCATCCTCCCTCATTAACATCAAAGAGGCAGATTTACAACATATAGGAAAATCACACGGTGCCAGGAATCATGGCCCAGACAAACTGATATACACATTTTTGGGGGGACATAATTCAATCCATGACAGATGCTGTGAAGATGGTAATTACAATGTTCTGTGGCTTATGTAACATATAGCACCAAGGGTACTTCAATATGAATAATTTCTAGAGTAAGACATTTTAGGAGAGGAATATAAAACTGCTCTATTTTTAATAAGACTCCATATCCTTCCTTAATACTTTTAAAAATCTTTGTTTCCTGACTTCACATTTCTTTGGTGTATTCAATTTCTGCTGTGTTGGATATTTCATTTGGATTAGTGATCTACCAACTTTACTTCAACTAGAGTAGGTATTTTGTTTGTTCTATTTTTGTTTTACTTCTAGGTTATTGACAGAAAGACTCGGGGACTAAAAAAGGGCAAAATGCTTTTAAAATCATCTTGCACTTTTTAAATTAAATATATAAATAATACATTTCTTTTGAAATTTTTATGTAGAAGGACAAGACTTCTAGAGATGAAGATTTTACATTTAATTCAAATTAACTAAGAAGAGAGACAGAACTGGAAGAATTCTCACTTAACCAAATCATATAATAACCTTAGGCAAACATGGGGAAAAAAGTCTTGTGATGGCCTGTAGGATCTCGCTTCCTCTTTCCTGCGAGTGAGCAGTTCATCCTTTTAGTAGCACAAAAATAATTTAAGGGAAATAGCTCAAGAGACTATTTGGGGGCTATTAGGCTGTTAGAAGTTAGTTGCCAGTGTTCACTTTATTTGGAATTATGGCATTGAAGTGTGGGTGGAACCTGTGGTCAGCCCCTTTCATTTTTACTTTCGGAACTCTGCATCACTTACATTTTTCCACAGTAAGTCTAAACTTCACTCTTTTCAGCACAGGACACATTTTTTTTCCTTATAGGTAGAGGAAATTCTTCAGGATTCCAATCCTCATTTGACTGCTAGAGATAAATTCAAATGAGGTCCACCTGTGAGCACTTGAGAGTTCAATCTAGTTGATGCTTAAAACAGAAGATGGAGATGTAGTATATGGTCACCAAATAGAGAAGGATAAATTTCAGTAACTGCAAACCTCATTTCAGTAATGGTGATTTCAGAGAGACTATCAGCCAGTTGGGAGTCCCTGGGTGGTGCAAATGGTTGATGCGCTCGGCTACTAACTGAAAGGTTGGAGGTTCGACTCTACCCAAAGGCACCTCAGAAGAAAGACCCAGTGATCTAGTTCCGAAAAATTAGCCTTTGAAAACCCTATGGAGGACAGTTCTACTCTGACACACATGATGACTCTGTGAGTTGGAATCGACATGATAGCAACTGTTTTTTTCCCCACCCCCACTATGAGAGCTTTAAAACAATTCCATGGGGGAAGGGGGTGGACTTGGCTGTAAAAGGGCAATATGAGGGATTCATATGGTGATGGAACTATTCTGTATCTTAATTGTGGTGGTGGATATATGAAACTACATGTGATAAAATTACATAGAACCAAATACACACACACACACACACACACACACACACACACACACACACAAATAGAAGTAAAGCTGGGGAAATCTAAATAGGACCAGTAGATAGTATCTGTGTAGATATCCTTCCTGGTTGTGATACTGTACTGTATAGTTTTGCAAATTGTTGCCGTTGGCAAAAATCTGGGCAAAGGGTACATGAGACCCCTCCATAGTATTTCTTATAACTGCATATGAATCAACTATTATCTATAAATGAAAAGTTTAATAAAAAAGGTAATACACACACAATTTCCTCTTGATATTTTTTGCTATTACCCAGAAAAATAACCTCCTGAGAGCCAAAGTTATAGGGTTTCCAGAGGCCAAACCAGAGAAAGTTTGCCCAAAAATCTAAGGTATCATCACTGCCTGTACATATTGTATCTTGATCGTTTAGTTGTATTGAATGACTAATATGAGATTCCTTGGAATTAATTTGGGATTACAATAATTTTTAAATGACTATGAGAATACGAAGGATTCACCTTAATATTTCCTGACACATTTAATACATTGCAAATTTCTATGGAAAGCATATTTAACAATGTTCTAAAAAGTCTAAAATATACAAATAACAGAGATCATCCTATAATCTAATATATTTTCCACTATAGTCAGAAGTTTTTAAACTTTCAGTATGTTTCTAAGACAGTGATAAAATTAAATCGTAAATAACCATTTAAACTATGTACATTTCAACAGTAAAAAGAAAACCAAACCTGTTACCATTGAGTTGATTCCAACTCATAGTGACCCTATAGGACAGAATAGAACTGCCCCATAGGGTTTCCAAGGAGCGGCTGGTGGATTTGAACTGCTGAACTTTTGGTTAGCAGCCGTAGCACTTAACCACTATACCACCAGAGCTCCGTGACATATATATTTGGCTTAATTTTTACCTTGATTGCAGGAATAGGCTTTTGGGGAATAAAGTAGTTTCTCTCAAGTGGTGAAAAAGCTACATTTTGCTCCTTTAGTTTAATCTTGTTCTCTGCTATGATTTTCTTGCGCTGCTCAAGATAAGGTCCAAAACTTGGCAGTTTCTAAAAGGAAAACACACAAATAAGAAATCGTATTAGCTCAGAAAGTAATATGAAGACGTAAGTATATAAATATTATCAATATTTATGATAATGTGTTGTGAGATTTTTTCAAGTATACTGTGACAAGGTCCTCATTTATTCTTGGGCCACTAGTCTTCAAGGTATCAGATTCCATTAATTATTAAAAAGAACGGAAGAGCCCGATATCTTTACCAAATATGTATGTATTAAATATACAAATGTTAATTAAAATGCATTCCTAAATGGAATAGAGCTCACAACAGTAAACCAAATCCATTCACTGAAAACAATAGCTATTAGTTAAACCATTTGTTTGGTTTCTGGAGACAGAAGGTGAAACCTATTGATGCTTTTTTTTTTTCCTTCATCAGGGTTTTAGCACGATATAGACACAGCCATAGTCCCTGACAAATGCTTTTGTCAATAGCAAAGGTACTTTGCCAAAGTTCTAATCTGTATCTCTCTTTTATTGTGTTCAAATTCTTACTACATCTCTTTAAAGATTGTAACTAGTGCTGACTGCAATTTACTGGAATGGCTGAAAAACAACATGGTCAAAATATTGATTTCCCTGTACGGAAAACAAATTTTATTTTGCATGAAGAAGGCAAAAATAGAACCAAAAAGCAGAGGAAACATCACAGTGCTTAAATAAACTCCATCAGTATTCATAATCGCATTATGGAGCTTTAAATCTCAAGGTTATTCACTTGTACTTTGCTAAGTTCATTTAGAAAGATACCTGGGCGTCATGGAAAAATGCTAAGTGGTTTCAAGTTAACACAAAAATGCCCTCATACCATTTATTATCCCGCAATTATTTCCTCTTCACTTTGTCCTTCCCTCTGCTAGAACCTTTGATCTTCACTTTTACTGACGCATGCTGCTGATGACAGACACCACTGAATTTCAAATGTTTTGTGTCAGCCTGTAACCTGGAATGGCTAGGTCTCCTTCACAAGACTGCAGAAATACCCTCTCTCTCCTGCAGAATAAAGTCCATTTTTCTAGCTGATGGAGATTTGGAAAACTGTAGCACTCCAAGGTCATCCTGATCTCTGACCTAGCAAGTACTTCGGTAAAAAATCACCCTTGTTTCAAAACACTGGCCTCCACTTGCCAGGTTGCGTAATGCCCCCAGGAAAATGAGTTTTCTGGTCTTCTTGAGTTCTCAGTAGAGCAGGTAAACTAAATTGAATCCATGCTCCACAATCAAGCCAAATTGCAAACTGCAACTGTAAATTTATATTAGCAAAGAACATATTTATTGGAAATAGCTAAGATTGTTACTTGTTATCAATTATTTGTAATTATGTCAACAAGTCAAGCAAATGGAAACAATGTTATGAATACCAAATTAAACTAGAACTATATACTTCATCTCAATATCTTAATGCTTTCCTAAATTTCAATATTTAGTGGTTTCAGTAATATGCTATGACATAGTGGAGAGACAGTATTTTGTATGTTTTTACTGTAAAACAAGTGACATTGACTTGTTAAAAAATAAAATAAGATTATAAAACAAATCTTCAATACTTATCAAATATGTAAGCCTTCTTAATATAGAAAAGGTAATGCTTGTTTGAAAAGTTTTCTTATGAAATAACTTTTTTCCTGGGGCAGATGAGGTGTTAAGGATTATAGCTGCTGCCAAAGACAGGCCCCTGGGTTCCAGATAACACCTCATAAGGTGACAAACACATGTTCACATGATATAAATCTTGTCAGAATGTCACTCTCTCCATACCTCTCCTACTTCAGGGGCACCAAAATCCTAATCTCACATTCTTGAAGATTATAAAGAATGGGGAAGTGTTGAAATACATGACCTCTGACTCTAGCAGACCCCTCATCTTAGCAAGCTCCATGGCAATCTGAACATTACTGAGTTTCCCTGATTGGGTCTTACTTAGTCAATGCCATCTAGTTCCACCTAAGAGTTTTGTAAAGGCTGTTAAAAAGAACACATTCTTAGAACTTTTTTGATCTATATTCTTTTAAACACAGATCAGAGGGGAATCTTTTTCCATTAAGATTCTTTTATGCAAATAGTGATAAAGAATGTACTTAAATTTAAACCATGATGCTATAATAATAATTATTATTATTTGAAATTCCCTTGATGCTGAACAGAATACAGTCTGGGTAAGCATCTAACGGCCTTGTATCTTCTGTAATTTTTTGCTGTGGTTGACTACATTTACCGTATATAAATTTGTATGCAGCTTTTCTATGGCTAACAGTGCACTAATTCTAATGTGCTCATCTTTTTTAATTAGTCCTGAGGAGAGTCTTAATTTAATGTAAAGATTGCTATAGGATTTTCTTTGAGTATTGGTCAGAAGAATCAGTGAAATAAAGGGAAAATTGTTGCCAAAATTTTCTTTAAACTGAAAGTACAAAAAAAAATCAGCAACCATTTCCTCAATCTTCCAACGTATTTCTCTGAATCAGAGTCCATTTGTGTGGGGTTCGTCACTGCCTTATGGAGATCCCAGAGGCTGAGGTGGAGTATTAGCTTGCAAAACTTCAAGGCTGTCATGGCATTTTGTTTTCCACATTAATATAAGAAAGTTAAGTGTGGCATAGTGGTTAAGAGCTTGGCTCCTAACCAAAAGGCTGGCAGTTCAAGTCCACCAGCCACTCCTTGGGAACCCTGTAGGGCAGTGCTACTCTCTTCTATAGGGTCACTTGAGTCGAAATTGACTCGATGGCAATGGGTTTTTTTTTTTTTTTTTGGTGTATACACTAAAGTGGCTTTAGGATTTTGAGGTACTGAACATTAAGTTTTCAGAAAATATAAAAGATCGATTCTTCCTGGCACCAGAGAATCACCTCTACACATACTGCATTTAGGCATATATTTGTGTTATGATCTTGCCCCAAAACATCAAACCAAAGCCAAGCAAAACAAAACAAAGAAAGATGAAAATGAATGCATAGTTGGTCACTCTGTATATGTGCAATCAGTGGTGATTAATAAAGCAGTTAGTTCAAATCTCTGCCTGAACATACAGTTAATTGATTTCCTATTGCAGGAGGGGAAGCAGCAGAGCCTGACAGAGCCAGCAGCAGGAGCTTTCCCTCTTCATTCATTATTTTCTCACAGAAAAAGTTGTAGCCTGTGGTAACTCAAAGCAAGAGGTTTTGAGCGTCATGCTATATTTCTTAAACAAAGGAAAAATTTCTTTAGGACTATCAAAAGCTGCTTTGTAACTGATGAACTGAACAAAGTTCAGAAATGGTGTGATTTCTGTTTCAATAGTTTCTCCCAGGATACATCATTGATGAATTTGTTCTCACCAGAAAAGCTAAATCCAACTCATTTAAAGATAACAGTATCTCACACTAAAACTGTCTCTCTCCAGATAAAAAAAGCATTACATTGCCGATAGAAAAGTGACAACATAATGAATCAGCAATGATACCTTAAGCCAGCAAATCTTTAAGGTAAAGAAGTCTGTTTGGATTATAATTTATTCATGGATCAATCTAAAGGTAATTGAGCATATTATGAAGTAGAAAAGGTTCTTGTTCCTAACAGAAACAGGCACGGATATCTTCCAGTTTAAATTGTATAATTTTTATGAGAATGGCAGCAAGTTGGTTAATAGGACTGGTCTGTAGTGCTGTAATGGATCAACTCTATTTTCCTAATCATACTCTCTTATCTGACTGGAAACAATAACAGTAAGAGAAGTAATTACTTTGATATCTAAATGGTAATAAGTGAAAAGATAAAAGGATTTCAGGTTTATACCGAGTGCAACGTGTGTGTATGTCTGTGTGTGTACACTGAAAGACTGCAGGATAAATTAGACATAAAGGATATGTATTTCACAAGTATATAAAAGTTGAGTTTTAAAAATGTTTTCAAAAGACGTGTTCCACATACAACATAAAAAAACCAAACCCGTTGCTGTCAAGTCCGTTCCGACTCGTAACGACCCCACAGGACAGAGTAGAACTGCCCACAGGGTTTCCAAGGAGTGACTGGTGGATTTGAACTGCCGACCTTTTGGTTAGCAGCTGAACACCTAACCACAGCACCACCAGGGCTCCACATATGACATAGTTACATTATTTATCCATCTTTTGCTATTTATTCAACAAATACAACACCGACTGCTTACTCTGGGTCAAGAACTGTCCTGGGCTATGTGAAAGGTTGACTAATTTCCGTAAGGTGCGTGTACATTTATCACTGTTAGTAATTTTATAAATATCTCTTGATATTCATTAAGAGTTTGTGTCAGACTGAATTGTGTATCAAGTGTACCCAGTTATTGTGGCTATCTAAAGGCATGATATACCAAATTCTTTGGAAAACTGAACTCGATCAAATGACGAACAATTGGAGAGAAAAATGAAGAAAATAAAGCTTCAAAGAGCTGACCTTTAAAAAAAAAAGTAAGAAGGCAATTGGAGTACTTATTGAATATGTAAAATCTAAAATGTGGGAGCAGTGTGGCATGATGGCTGGGAGCATGGGTTCTCCTAGTCTGTTTCATCACCTGTTAAATGGGTCATTGTGAGGTTTAAATGAAGTAATCCATTTAAGTTCCTAAACTGACACACAAATTTCAATCACTATGCACTCAGCATGATGCAAGGTAGCATGGGAGATCAAGATGAGTTTCTTTTCTGTTCTGTACTGTCTGAATTCAGCAACTTTTCTCTTTTCCTCTCACCAATTATGAGTAATCAGTTGTTTAAATTTTACCCTGATTTTTTACTTAAAAATTACCTTTAGGATGGCTTAGATTCAGAAACTCAGATAGTCCCCATGAGCAATTGGTATGCAATTCTTAACCACTGATATAACAGCAAGCAGTTTTTCACGATATTATTAAATTTGGACAGAGGAAAAGAAAAACAAGACAGAAAGAGGAAGCCCATCTATATATTATATGTTATTAGGATAGGAGGTGGAGTCCAATGGTGTAAACTGGGACACTGGAGTTAGACATGCAAAA